ATAAAATATCGTATTACAATTCAAGCCGTAAGTTACGACATAATTGTTAAACGAAACAAACTTACCGGTGGCAGTATGCACTCACAGAATCGCAAGCCATAAACAACTTGGTTTCCGTATCGATGGGGCTTGTCGGGCATAAACATCCGCTAGGTGTTGCGCTTGGACGTGGCTGGTAGTACGCCCTTCGTCAAACGAAGACTTACTACCGAGTGACCAGCCAGATCGAAACCGAGTTTGCAACGTGTCGACAACAGGCCGTAACTTCCACAATTTGTCTCGAATCCGTGGGGCTTCGTTGTTCACGACATGGAAGTCTCGAAGGCCTCGTATTCATCCGAAAGATCTCCATCGCCCATAACATTCACGTCGGTTACCGGCAGTGCCACACGGCAGTCATCCTCCACAGTCTCACCTCCACACACACTTGCGCCTTCCTCCTCCACACTGGCGCAACCATCATCGTTGTCGTCCGAATTGCTCGACTCGGCGCCTGACAGGAGCCGCTGGAACGCCCCCACGACCATCTCCCGATCCGACTGCTCCAACTGATCCTCCGCTTCCGACTGGGGGTCACTGTCCGTGCCAAACATCGCCGATAAGGTGTTGGCCGACAGCGCGATGGATGTGTCTATCTGTGACGCCGTCACTGTAACGTCCACCGGCACGACCTCATCACTGCCCACCTCCCTCTCACTGTCGCCACTCTCTTCAGCAATAAGCCCAGTCTCGATTGCATAAGCCACCACAGCATCCTCCCCTAGACAAGTGATATAAATTAGACAAATGAAGCACATAACCATATACGAGCTTCGCACCAGTGAGCGACTTCCCGTCCGGCGACGTGTACGTCCACTCCTTCGCAAGTCCACCGGAAGGTCTCTTCGACGTCCATCCCACTGCACGTAGCTGCCGCCAGAGATGCTTGAAGTCGATGGCACGCACGTCCATCGTGCTGGCAACTGCTGATTGCTTCGTCCGCGTACTTGATCGAACTCTCGCCATGGTGGCAAGTTCTTGAATGAGACACCAGTGGCTCGAGTCGGCGCTCTCGGCCACTCATCATTCTGTTCGGTGCAGCACATCTACCCTTCCCCCATTCTTTCTTTTACATTTGCCGAATCGACCTCTTTCAGCTTATATAATTTGCCTCCAAACTTTGACTTGGTTAAAGTATCGTGTCCTCTTTTTTCGAGCCATTTTCTGTTTGAAGACTCGAATTACGTCGTAAGTTACGACTTTCGCCCTACTCAAAGTCGTAACTTACGACGTTGGTAACAGAGGGGTTAAGAGTCGTCTAGGCCACTTCCGTACCATCTTCACTGCGCAGCGTCACGTCCATCAGACCCAGAACCTTCTTCGCTGTCTCTGTCGCTTCTGTGCGTGATGTCACACCGATCTTTGTGTTACGGAACTGGAGATCTGTCTTTAAAGCACTTAAACCGAGTGGATCTCCGGGTAGAAGTGAACTTGCTAGCCAATGGACCGCGGACCTATCGTATTCTTCAAAAATCGTATGTGAGTACAGAGTCGAACGGATTGGTGGGGGCAGCCCTGTATGCTACAATGCTAAAGCTTCCCAGCATATTTCAATACAGTAGTCTACTCAAATGGACAACCGTTTCAAGTAGTTGTATGGATTGACCTTGGGAATACCCACCGAATTAAGAGATGGAAAAATACAAAATCACTCTGATCAAGGAACTTTACTCGCCCGAATCCAGAGAGCCCGAAAATGCAATACTTAAATTAATACATGGATGCCTGAGAAAATTAATAATTTAATTATTTGCAAAACTTCGCAAGTCACGATTGTAGTTCAGAAACATTATCATCTCGAGCCTGGCTGGAGACATTCGCTTCCGTAGATCAGACAGCACCAGCTTAGCGAGAGAGAAGAAGCGCTCACACTCGTTAGACGTTGGCGGGATGTACGCGACGTCGACGTAGCGCAATTGCGTTTCTTGAACGCCGCTCTCACAATAGAACGCTCTCGGCGGCTCTTGAAGACGACCGTTCGAGATCAGGCGACCTAAATTCAGCGCAGGCTAATTTTTCCGCGACGTTCAGCGCACCCCCACGCTGTAACTTGACTAGACCTTACTCAAAATTGGGGTTGTTCCCGTTGTGGACAGCCATAAATTAATAATTAAATTAAAAAATTAGGATTAATTTTTACGCATATTATTTTTTCGGGTTCCCTGCCCAAATACATAGGCCTGGTATTTGTAGAAAAGCGCCCGGAATGTCGGGTTTTGGTCAACCCTCAGCTTCTTGTAAACGGCATCGTCGGACAATTTCGAGGTGTATTTCCATTTGTAAAACTTCTTTGTCCGATAGCTTATGTCGGTCAGCATCTCCGTGATTTTGTCGAGCTTGAACCGCTCTTCATCAACGTTATCGTTGTTGAGCGTACTATGACGTATGTGACCTCGTAAAACTCGACCATGGCCACTTGGATGATCATGACCAGGATCCAAGCTTGCATCCAAGCCATTGGCAATCTCTGTGGGTGCTGAGAGAGCGTCCTGCGCCACGAAACCCAACGCTGCCGCGACCACGAAAGCCAAAGACAGCTTCATGATCTGATGTAGAAAGTCAGTGGCTTGAGAGCTGGATGAAGGAATGCAGAATGGCACGAAAAGAAATTCAACGCTTTCCAGAAAAGTCTCAACGGACAATCCTTCTGCGGCTCATAATGACCATTCTATCAAGTTATAAACGGGACTCCGATTTCTTGTGATACAGACGTACCAGCGACTGGGCTGCATTCATGTTAGTGCGACGAGGAAGGGAATTATCCTCCGCAGCCGTTTTTAGTTCATTGTAAATCCTTTTAGAATTTTTGAGCTATCCATGTAGTTTAAGACTCCAGCTACAAGTTGAAGACTACAGATCACATGATCTTCCACGTATCGACACCGCGGCATGCAGCGTTCGGCATCCAGGATGACAAGATACCCTGTAACGCAGGCCTCGGACAATACAATACGAAATTGTACTGCAAGACATCGAGTCCCATAATAATAACGGGAATATGATGAAGTACAATAATAATAACGGGGCCAATATAAGTATATTGTGGCCTCTAACTACCAAGTCTTCCTACTCATTGGCGACGAGCGAAGTCGCGTTCCACATGTCGCGGTTCACGCGAAGAAATGCTAACATCTCAAAGTTTGCAGAAAGCATGGATGACCGCTGAGGCGTCAGAATGAGCTTGCACTGCGAAAACAGTCTTTCAACTGCGGTCGAGGTGGGCGGCACCACCTTTGCCAGCTCATGAAAGCTCACACCCGCAGCACCAGCCGCTCGCATCTGCTTCCCCCCTCGTAGAATTGCGCTGGCGTTATCGCTCGTCGAGCGCTCCTTCCTCTTACCAGTTGCAGCATCTGGCTCCACCAATCGCTGGACTGCGCGCGACTCAGACGCAGTGAGCTTCGCATTGTTGCAAATCTTGACCAAAGCTGCCTCAAAGGCCGGCGCATGGACGATCTTCGCCGCCGGACGCAGATGGCTCGCCATAACTGGGTAGTCGTCAACAACCTGGTCAAACAAAACACGCACGTCCGCCATGCTGGTGTCCTCGCGCTGGAGTGCCTTGCAGACACTATCGAGTTTCTTGAGGTGCTCTAGCAGGCCGAGAAGCTTCTTGTGGGCCGCACCTTTTGGGATGAACTCGTCAACAGCATCAACCTGCCGACTAGAATCTCGAATTTTCTTATAGCGGTCCACCATTGCGAATGTCGAAGACCAACGGGTAACATTCCGTTTGACAGGGTTAAGGTCCGTGAATTTTGAGAGTTCCGCAGCACTGTTCACGTGTCGTAGCTGCACCATCAGACTGTTAACTGCAGCGAGCTCCGGCTCATAAGCAGCTAAGTAGCGATTCACCGCAAGGTTGTACCGGTGACTTGCACAGCCAACCAGTGGCAACTCCACCAACGTAGCGATCCGCTGATTGGTCGCGCAATTGTCGGCTACCAGAAAAGCCACCATAGAGATGTCCTTGTTATACAGCGCCAGCACGCGCTTGAACATCTCGATGTGCACTTCAGCATCTTGGCTGCTGTCCTCCAGCGGTGACAGCGACAGCAGTCGCTCACGGCGCTTGCCGTCTGCGTAGCAAACACCGTACATACCGACGTAGTGCGTGGTACCGTGCGTCCATCTATCCCACATGACACCAAACAGCTTGCCCAACTCGCTTTCGATCAGCACACCAACGCTCTCGGAGCACTTCTTCATGTCTTCCTTCAACCTCTTGGACGAAACGGGCTTCCAGGACGACATGGACCTTGTGAGGTGGTTGTCGACCTCGGAGACGGGCATGTGCCTCTCTACGACCCACTGAAGCCACTGATAGCGATGCTGAGTCGCCTCGGACACGAACTCAAAGTTGGACAGAGGGGCGTCCGTAGCCGCAGATGCGCTGTAGGTCTCGTTGAAGTCGGGGTGCGTCAGGTTGAGGTGGGACATCAGGTTCGAGTACCCGGTACCGGTTTGCTGCTTGCGGTAAGAACCGCAAAGCTGACAGCGGAAGTCGCCTTGGCCCTTGTCTTCGTAGAAGAATGCGCAGATATCACGGTTCGGAGCCATCGTGGTCAAATGAAAAGTGAGGGAGTGCTGTGAGGCTTCGGCTCGTGATCGTGTCTGTGCCTGCCAGCCAACCACTTGAACGATTGGCGCGAAGAGCTAGTTGCCTCTAACCAGCCAACCAGCGGAAACGTGGTGTATCAACCCCAGAGAGCCTGAAGCAATTTATTCGTCGCTTGCGAGCAGAGCCCAAGTATGAAGCGCACGATCTTTTACACGTTATTGGGCCCCCCGTATGCGAGGATATTGATCCCGATGACGCGTCGGTTATCAC